AACTTTAGAATAAAAAATATACTATTTAAAAATTTATTTACTCATAACATTTTGATATGCAATGATATCCTCACCCTAAGCGCCCTTGCAAGACTGAGAAAAACATCCGGTGCCAGCGGGCCGCTGCTCTTCCATAGAGAGATAGCTCCCTTATCTTCAAAGCTAACTCTGGGAAACCCCCGATCAACAACAGCAAAGCAGGAGAAAGGAAAGGAGAAAACAAAATGCTTGCGAAACAAATCCCACCGTATTTATCCAGATCCAAATCTCCAATACTCCGTCTTATACTCTCTCTCCTCGCCCTCTCTATTCTCATCCTCCTTTTCTCCTCTTCGACCTCCCACCGTTACCTAGACAATGATCTCCCCTTCTCTAACCCGAAGATGAGACCCGAGACATCGTTCGTGTTCTCAATCGAGCTGTTCCTTACTCAGAAAGCCGCGAAGCCTCCTCCTTCTTCTTCAAGTCGTGATGATACAGTGCATACTCTGAGAGAGGAGGACGTGAGTAGGCTTGAAGATCGGAAATACGAGAAAGAGAATGAGTGGATGCACGGAGATCGTTACTACCCTCTAAGCATGCCGGTTAGGGTTTACGTGTACGAGATGCCTAGCAAGTTCACGTACGATCTGCTTTGGTTGTTTAGGAATACTTATAAGGAGACGTCTAATCTCACCTCCAATGGCAGCCCCGTGCATCGGTTGATTGAACAGGTATTATTGCCCATTACCAATTAACAAGCTGGGGAAACGAAATTTGGTTTCTTGGTCATGTTTTGTTAAATATGCAAATAAAAATGAAAGCAATTGAAAATCTTGATCTGCCAATTTTATTATTTCCAAGTCGCTTGCCATTTTGTAAATTTTCGTTAATGATTCTGGGATAGTTTGTATTCAATTTCATTATTATAAAGCAAGACACATGCATTAACTGCATTAAGATTTGTTGCAAGCGGAAAATTCTAGATCAGTGCTTAAGGCTTTTGTTTGTCTGGTTGGTGAGGAAGTGCAAGTATTCAAAATTTTCTACCGGAAATTGAACTAAAAACTTTACATGTTTCTTGTTGCAACTACTTTCTCTTGAAATTTGATTGCTTATTTTGTTTCCTCGTTGGATGATATTTTTTTTCCTAAAATTTTGGTCAGCATTCTATTGACTATTGGCTTTGGGCGGATCTGATTGCCCCTGAGTCAGAACGCCTTTTGAAAAATGTGGTGAGAGTCCATCAGCAGGAGGAGGCAGACTTATTCTATGTTCCTTTCTTCACAACAATCAGCTTTTTCTTATTGGAGAAGCAACGATGCAAGACTCTTTATAGGGTGTGAGTGCACTTCTGCTGTACATTTTCTTGTTTGAGTTTCTGCTTTGTGCATCAAATGTTATGTTTTATATGTTTCTTCTTCCAATATAGTACACATATAAAAGGACAAGATTTAAGTGAAGAACCCACTATAATAATGATATTAGTTGCCTTTATCACTTGGCAAGTTTTCCCATGGAACTGAAATTTTTGGTTGAATTTAGGGTATCTTATTTCATACTTTTTCTCATCATGAATGAACTTGGTGGTGAATTCTTCTGAATAGTTGATATATTTTCTGATTGTAAAAGTTAATGGGATACTTGTACTGAGTGAATACTAGAGTTTTGCTTTATGGCTTGCTACTTTAATATTCTTTTTTGAATGGGGTGTGATATTAAACTTCAGAATTTTTTTATGCTATTCTCTGTTTATTTTGGTTGTAGGAAGCACTAAAGTGGGTGACAGATCAGCCTGCCTGGAAGCGATCTGAGGGAAGGGATCACATATTTCCTATTCACCATCCATGGTCCTTCAAGTCTGTTCGAAGATATGTGAAAAATGCAATTTGGCTTTTACCAGATATGGATTCCACAGGAAACTGGTACCTTAACTAGCTTCTGCAAATGAAATGAAGTGTGCTAGTTTCTTTATTCATTTCAGTTGCTTATGGTTAATTTTAACCTTTTAGGTACAAGCCAGGACAAGTTTCTCTGGAGAAAGACCTTATTCTACCTTATGTTCCCAATCTGGATATATGTGATGCCAAATGCTTATCAGACACTGAATCAAAGAGAACTACCCTGCTTTTCTTTCGTGGGCGGCTTAAAAGAAATGCTGTAAGAATTTTAGGTGACTAATTAGTTGCCTTTGAATTGATTTATATTGAAAACTTTGGCATTTGAAACAAAAATCTAGAAGAAAAAATATAGATTGGTTGTTGACAAACTTTCAAAGTTTTATGCGTGTTATCAAAATATCAGGGTTTGTTAGAAGATCGCATCATAAGGAATGGTCCACTTTTCCCACATAAAATAAAAAAATGAAGAGGAAAAAATATCAAGGCTATTTTATATGGTATTGGAGCCCATGCTCCGCCCTGTTGTTGGCCTACTTGTTAGGATTGAAGTTCATATTGGGTCTGCATGGAAATGGGTATATTAAGCCATATGACAGAACCTGCACATGATGGGCATGTTGAGTTGGAAAATCACACGTTGAAAATGTAACAAGAAACATGTAGATTAAATACAAGGAGGCTTACTCTACTTATTGCTAATTGGTTTTAGGTTAGATGCAAGTCTTGTATTAAAATACACATACCCAATTTTCATTTTTTTGGGAATGGAGCTACCTTTTTCTTTCTTGACTGTTACTTTGTCTATCAGACCTGATATCTTTAGTTATATGTTTCAGCTAATTGTTTTTCTGTCTTCAGGGAGGAAAAATACGTGCTAAACTTGTAGCAGAGCTTAGTGGTGCTAATGGTGTAGCCATCGAGGAGGGAACAGCTGGAGAGGGAGGGAAAGCAGCAGCTCAGAATGGTATGCGCAGGTAAGTGTCAGCTGGTTTTGCTTTTAAATGTAGGTTCCCTATTCCTGTTCTGCCTTTCTATTGATGGAGGCCAGATAAGAATATTGGAGTGAACATAGGGTTCAGAAAACTAGGATCTTATCAGATACAGGGGTAGGATTTTGGGGTTTAGGACCATGTGTTTCGACAGAAAGTGGTTGGCAGCAAGGCTTATTGTGGCTGTGAAAACTAATACAAATTACGAAATAACTCAATAATTTCAAAAAACATAAGCATAAAATGTTAATTCTAATTGAATTTATATTCAAAGGATCATGGATTACACCTGATCCATATTAAGAAATCTAGTCTAGTAAAGACTTGTTAAGCAAACTAGATTCTAATGTGACCTAATTATCCATTAGATAGGTCCATTACAGAAATAGTGTAAATACCCCTGATAATAAAACTCAACTAGACTGCTAATCAATGGGCACTTGCTGTTAGACCAAAAAGGCTTCTTTTCCTGAACTTAAACCTAGCCATCCAAATAATACGATTCTTTTCTGACCAAGCTATTCATGCACTGTTATTTATAATGATTGAGTTACTTCATCTGTTGTTAGGTCTATCTTCTGTCTAAGTCCAGCTGGTGACACTCCATCGTCTGCCAGGTTGTTTGATGCTATTGTCAGTGGATGTATCCCTGTTATTGTTAGTGATGAGTTGGAGCTTCCTTTTGAAGGAATACTTGATTATAGGAAGGTATGTTTCACTTTCTTAGAGCTTGATTTGTTATTTCCTTTTAGCTGATTTAGCTTTCAGCAGCCTTCATGTTCTTGTTAAATGAGTAATTTCTCTCTAGGATTAGATAGATGTCTCATTTCTTAAATTTTCTTGTGGCATATGTTAAATTAAATCATTGGCTCTTATAGGTGGTGAATAATCAGATAACCCACATTAATATCTCGTTTCTGCCTCTCTAATTGTCATCTTTAGCAAGTTGACTATTGGACTAAAATAGATATCTATAGTTTTAACATTTTAGCAACAGCTTGATTCTAATTTTGCATGATAAATGATAATGTTTTGATTTTATATAATGTAGAATAGCAGTCATAGCTTTGAAAACCACCTCTATTTTGCAAATTTGTTTCTGTGCTCATGTTATTTTCCTGTTTATGTAATTATGGGAACAACAACATGATTTTGTAGCAAAAATTCAAGTTTTTTATGTAGTGTGTAGGAATAGAAGTGTGTTAAAGTTGATCCAAGTGGTGGGTGATGTGGCTTGGACATTGGTAGAGAATATGTGTTTTGGACATGCAAATTGTGGAGAGTACTCTCAGTAGTCATCTGTTGCTAGAAAAAAAATTAACTGGCTTCAACAGTGTTGTAAAAGGCGCTAGGCACCATAAGGTGACATACCTCTGCCCACCATAAGGTGACATACCTCTGCCCACCATAAGGTGACATACCTCTGCCCAGAGCATAGGCTGAGCCTTGGGAGCCTTGGTGATTTGTGTACCATTTTTTATTTTATTTTTTAAAAATTCTAAAAAATTCAGAAAATTTGGAAAAAATTTTAGAAAATTAAATAAATGTCAAAGAATTTTACAAAATAGAAATAATAGTTTCTCCACTTTTCTTTCCATTAGCTTTCAAAATATATTAACTTAGACATGTTAGCTGTACTCATTTCAAAATTATAAGCAGCCCTTGAGATAAAATCCCACGAACAGAAATAGGCTTGCCAATTGAACTTGGTAACAAAAAACAAAGTTTTGGACTCTAAACTTACAGTGGTCTAGTAGATATATATGGGCCCAACCGTACGATGATATTCCGACCTGATCAAATAAATTTGGGGACCCAAGATTTAAACCCAATCCAGAATTGTTCTTTTTTTTTTTTTTTTTTCTGTTGAGAGAGAACAAAATCCTCTATCTCTCTCGTCAACAAAATGCTTTTTGAAGCTAAAATTGCAGGTGATGATTTGGATTTAGTGTTTGATTTCCTCTAGTTCAATTTAAATTTCAGATTGCGTTGGAGAATTGAGCAACGCAAGGGAGTGCCTGATCGCTCCTATGCACCACCCAAATCTTCCAAGTACTACCCAATACCACCTTCCCTTTCCTGTGCGACACCTTCTAAAACTCTACACCCTTTCTCTGTCACCTATGAGCCAAGGTGGGCGATAGATGTCCGCCCACTACAAAGCCGCGGCACTTTCTGCAACATGGGGCTTCAACAAATTGGGTTTTACTAGTATAGATACTTGTGCCTTCTTGCTTGAATGATTGCTTGCATATTGCTGTTTAATTGTAAAGTGCTGCTTGGTTTGTGTTTTAAACTTAATCCCAGAATCCAATAAAACTTGATTTTATTTGATATTCTGAAACTTTTTCCTGCCATTTTTTTGTGTTAATTTATCTTTGAAGATGGAAAATATTATTTTTCTTCTTTATGCGATTTCAACTGAAGTCTGAAATCAAATAGTTGATGGCGTGCCTTTACTGGGTTGCTGAGATTGCACATGCTTTCCTTTTATGCAGATAGCTTTATTTGTTTCTTCCAGTGATGCTGTACAACCAGGTTGGCTTTTAACATTTTTAAAAGGCATTAGCATTTCTCAAATCAGAGAAATGAGGAGGAACCTTGCACAGGTTTGTGATCCTTGATTTCATTACACTTCATGTCATGAAATTGTCATGTTCATGTCTGATGAAAATTAAATTTGGTAGAAGACAACATTATTGCTGAAAAAAAAAAGAAAGAAAAAAAAGAAAAAAAAGAAGAAAAGATACATTATTCCTATTAGTGCTACATTCAGGTTTTGGCATTTCTACCAGCCTTTGTTCACATTTTATGTTGAACCTAAAATTTCTGTCATCTCTGATACTGATAAAAAAGTAAGACTGTTAGAAACTTAGAATATACATTATTCCACCAGTGCTACATTCAAGATTATAGATATTTTGCAGTCTGAGATTATGTTCCATCAAAGCAAAATTCAAGACAAGGCTATTTATTAGTTATATTATTTTTTAATGTTTATTAGTCCTGTATCATAAATGTGATTGCTAATTGTTTATTATTAGTTTGTCATTTTCTATTGCCACTTGGCCTTGGGTCATTCAAACTAAGATAATGATATTGACAATGGTGAAATTTTGTTCCAGTACTCAAGGCATTTCATATACTCAAGTCCAGCACAACCCTTGGGGCCAGAAGACTTGGTTTGGAGAATGGTTTGTCACTGACCTTTTCTACCATTGGCTTCTAGTTCTAAATTAGTTTTTATGTAAATGAGAAAATAACTGTATAAATGTCTCTCCTCCCTCCATACACAATCACAGAGTCTTGGCATATTCTACTTGATATTTTGCAAATTGATTTTTTTTTTCTCATGATTCTTAGCAACAAAATCAGTCATAGTTTTTCTGAAGTTCAGGAAATAGGTTTTTGTGATCTTGATACTGGAGATTAGTTGCTAATTTTCTTCTCTTGACCGATACTGGTTCTTCCCATCCCTTATGCAATGCATATTAAATGTGAAAGAACTATAGTGTGCATAATAGGCTCTAAAGATTGCAAATGACAAAGACATTTCATTAGAAGAAGCTAATGGAAACTGTTATGTTCTCTCAAGCTATGAATTTATTAAAATATTCATCACGTGCAAACAGATGGCTGGCAAGTTGGTCAACGTCAAGCTTCACACTCGGAGATCACAGCGTCTGGTGAAAGAATCTAGAAGCATATGTACCTGTGATTGCAAGCGGGCTAACTCTACAGGTCCCAGTCCCTTGTCCTGATTTATTTAACTATAACTTTTGAGACTATTCTTTCACGTCTTGATATAAAGCTGGTGCATAAACTGTAATGTTCATGACTAGGTTTAATTCTTATTTTCTGGCTCTTATGAATTTTGGATTCTGCATTTAATGTGACTGGTGGCATTTTTATCACTTTATCATTTGTGAGTTCCTTGGTTAACATGAAAGAGGTCCAAATGTTCCCCAAAAAGGAATTAGACAAGGGGAGGGAAAGGAGCAACAGTCCCCCAAAGCGTTAATGGTTAGATTTTTAGTTTTGAGTTTTCATGTAAATAAGGTTCAATGTTTGCAAACTTTACTAATTGAGGCTACGACTTTTGTTCCTTACTAATTGAGGCTATCACCTTTCAATTCAGCACGTTTGGAACATACGTTAGGATTGGATGAGATAGGATTCAAATGATAGGATAGGATTGGATTGGATTGGGTTGGTTTAGATTGGATTATTTAAAAGTCTAATCATATGTTTGGAGTTCATGAGATTAAACACAGGATTGATTTAAAATATTTATGTTGACAAAAATACCCCTTATTATTTCAATTCAGTTTCTTTATTAAAAATGGAACAACTTACTAAAATCCTTCAAAATTTTCTTGCAATTTACTATTTCATTTTCTCCACTCCCAAACAGCTACTCACTTCTTAAATACATTTTTCTTCCATTTTCTCAACATCTCCAGTACTTTCCATGTTCTTCTTTACCTCTGCAAGCTAGAGTTTTCTTCTCAACTCTAATATTTTGTCTGAGAAGCAAATTAGCAAATCTCAGCATGGATAAAAGAGAAAATAAAGATATATATTTTTTTAGATTCACCAGAATGTATATGAGGAAACGATGACAACGGTATCGATTGAATGAAATTGAAATGAGATCTAAGTGCCTTTTGAGTGAGAAAAAGGAGTGGGATAAATCTGGGTTTCTTTATTTTAGGAGAAAAAGAAAAGGAAAGGGATGATCGGAGACTAATGAAATCAGTGATGGAAGAAGAAGAAAGGGATGACAGGACATTTACAAAAAGATCCATGGCTAAAGATAAAATAGATGATCGAAATTTGTGAAAATAGGGGTCGGCAACAGAAGATGAAAAATGCATTTTCGTAGGGCATAATAGACCTAGCAAACGGGCGGATTGGGTCAACGCGGGTGACAGGTTATACGGGTTGGGTTATAAATTGGTTGCGGGTTGGAAAAGTCCAACCTTAAATCGGCTTTAACGGGTTACGGGTTAACTCGCGGGTTGATCTTATTTTCATTCTTTATTATTATTTTTCATTAATTTTATTATATACAAATAAAATTATATATATCTAAATCTAATTAAAATATTATAA